GAAAGGACTCAGCTCAGACTGAACTTGCTTGACCAGCTAATCCTTTGTGGCTGCGCCAGCACAGCCTCCACCTTTCTTCCTGGAGGCTTCATTAGAGTTAGCTTTAGGGGTACCACCCTTGCTCTGCTTTTTCCCAGCATCCTAGTTCCCGGAGGAACTGGCTTTGCAGGCAGCAGAGTTAGGGTGCTTGGCAGCCCACACCAGCCTCCTCTCACTTCTGGATAGCACCTTTTCGCCTTTGGCTAAAGCATCCGCTATCCTCCGTCTTTGCAACTCACCCCTGGAAAGTCGTTTTTCGTACGAGGGATCTCATACGCAGACCTTGTAGGGCTGGGCACATAAATATACCTTCACAGCTTTCACAAGGTCTCTGGCTGGGGCAAGCCGTAGCGAGATTTTCCTGAAAGGACTCAGCTCCTGAACTTGCTTGACCAGCCAATCCTTTGTGGCTGCGCCAGCACAGCCTCCACCTTTCTTCCTGGAGGCTTCATTAGAGTCAGCTTTAGGGGTACCACCCTTGCTCTGCTTTTTCCCAGCATCCTAGTTCCCGGAGGAACTGGCTTTGCAGGCAGCAGAGTTAGGGTGCTTGGCAGCCCACACCAGCCTCCTCTCACTTCTGGATACCACCTTTTCGCCTTTGGCTTAAGCATCCGCTATCCTCCATCTTTGCAACTCGCCCCTGGAAAGTCGTTTTTCGTTCCTTTCCGGTTTCTGCGAGCTTGTCGTCATCGTCAGATTTCAGTTGACCTTCCTCCTCCATTTGGGTCAGATTGTCTACATTGTTCTCACGAATACCGGGTATTTAAGTCCACCTCCCCAGTGACCCGATTAGAGAGGTAAGGGGTGCGTACGACTGGGTTACCCCTGGTTCCCAGAAGGCTCCGTTAAGACACTGAATATTAGGCCCCCAGTGCCACAAGACTCTTGGCACGGATCGCATTACCTTAGTCTAGACTTATTACAGTGACAACCAGAATGAACTTACGAATGGTCTTATACAAATTGTTGTACTGTTAAAGTATTTGATGTTTACTGACTTTATGAATTAAGTGTTTGTAAATTGTTGTCGAACTCCTCAATTTACAAAGGTGGGGAGTGTGTTACGAATTGAATTTAATAGACTTTGGTTACATTTAACCCCTATTTAAAAGACTTTGGTTTAATTAACTAATGTACTGTATGGAACCAACATATGATCATATGTTTGATTTTGATTATTCTGATTTGTAAACAAAGATAGTAGGTGATGTTATAAATTCTTAAGAATACAGCTCCTTTTAGAAAGTGGATAAAACAGGTTTTTTATTTAGCTATTACTTGTTAGAACCTAAAATCAGGGAATATTTAATATTTTTAAGGATTATCCCCCTAAGTTGTAAAATATATATATATGAATTTGAACGGATGGTGTTTTTGGCCTCTAGGGACCTCAAAACGAAAAAGTAAATCGGTCCCGGGTCCAAGTCTTACCATGAGTACTACGGTAATAGCTTATTCCCTTTATGGGAAATTCGCTAAAAAGGAAATAAGTGTACTTTAATTTTTAAATAATCCACGCACAACTTCAGAGTAACAATTATTTAATTCCAAATGAATAACACTTAATTTTTAAAAGTTTTTATTGATTTCCTGTTTAGCTGACCTTTTGAGTTATCCGATCTAGGTCTGGTCCCGTTAGGGTTGGTTTAGAGGGGGTCTACTGTATATCCTTTTCACCTTCTACCCTTATACCATAGTATCCAGAAAGTATTGCTTTTGTCCAAATTTTCGAGTTTGAGTTTTTGGTGGATATCCCTTTTGGATCCCCTTGAACCCAAAAAAAGTTGTTTTACAAAGTGATGTCTGTCCGTGTGTTTGTGTGTGTGTGTGTCTGTCTGTCAGTCTGTTGTGTGGATGTGTACAGAACTACAGACCACGCCTGTGGTCTGATTTTGATTAAATTTTGTATGTGTACTACCGTAGGTACTAACCCATGTTATCTCCCTGTGTTTTTTTTATTTTTAAATTTTTATTTTTAATGGTGATTTCCCCATAAAAACCCATAGATAAAAAATTAAAAAAATTCTCGAAATTGACCAGAACCAGGTTGATTACAATTTAGTATTTTATACTCCTTTTGACTCTGAACAAGATGGTATACCCCCCCCCCCCCCATTAGTGTGCAAATTACGATTCAAAAGTTATTGTGTGTTGCATGCTCACGTGGTGGTAGGTACGCCTAAAAACTTATATATTTATACACCTAATGAAAAAAAAGCATTGTTTATCCACTAGCAATTAAGTAAAATATTCCATTTTTATTCTTGATATACATTTTTATTATTCATCGTAAAAAACAAATTACCATTTAAAATAATAGTTTTTAAGCGCAGCAACGCGCTCCGGGTAACAGCTAGTAGTTAATATTGATTATAATCTAATATATAAAATTCTCGTGTCACAGTGTTTGTCTGCAAACTCCTCCGGAACGACTTCACCGATCGTTATGAAATTTGGTGTGTAAATTCTGTAGGTATGCGAATCGGACGTAAACTATTTCCCGTTTCGAAATTCTTAAAAGGGCTCCGCCCCAGTGGCTCTGGAGTTTCCCATGTTAACCTTATGAGAAATGGAATTAATGAATCTTAACAGCTGTTTCAATTAAACAAGTTGGTTCTGTTCTATGATGTTCAATAGCATTAAAGTTACAAGGATTACCAACAGGGTGTAGCACTATTATTTCTTTTACATTTATGACAACAGCTAATTTGCAACCAAAAGGTGAGTGAGCGTAGCGAACGAACTTCAACCTGGAGGCGAGTTAGCGTAGCGAACGAGCTAACCTGAAGGCAAGTGAGCGCAGCGAACGAGCTCCAACCTAAAGGTGAGTGAGCGTAGCGAACGAGCTCCAACCCAAAGGTGAGTGAGCGTAGCGAACGAACTTCAACCAGGAGGCGAGTTAGCGTAGCGAACGAGCTAACCTGAAGGCAAGTGAGCGCAGCGAACGAGCTCCAACCTAAAGGTGAGTGAGCGTGGCGAACGAGCTCCAACCCAAAGGTGAGTGAGCGTAGCGAACGAACTTCAACCAGGACGTGATTGAGCGATGCGAACGAGATCATCTTGAAAATTAAACGTAACGGTACTTTCTTTCCATCGGTCTGTCTTAGGGAAAACCTATAACTTAGGCGATACGAAGTTCGCCGGGTCAGCTAGTTAGACTATATTATTTCCATTCTTTGTTAATAATTATTAATTATTATTATTAAATAGTTTGAAAATAGATGGGCTTAAATAACTACAAAACATCAGTTATAACTTTCAGTAAAGCCATGTGAAGACGAAGAATACCAATCAATACCTAATTGTATTAAATATACTGGATTAGTCTTGACAGAAATCAGGCTAAGGCCCCAGGTCACAATTTACCACAAATATAATCCATCAAATTTTTGTGTGTGAAGAGAAGTAGTTAGTAATAACAACAAATTAAAACCTGTAACTTTGTTTAATAAGATAACTCCAATGATCTACATGTTCTAAAACAGTGTGAAAGTAGCTGGATATAGCAGGAGATCAGTGTTGATAACAGTAGCCTGCCAGGTGATAAGGTCGGATACTGTAGTTTCCACACTGAGGAGAAAGGTTAGGGCGTGGCTACTTTGCTCCAATTTCATTTCTTTGTCCTCTTTCTAGTCGTAACCTGCAAGCTGGTGCCGTTCTGTACCTTACTATACCAATATTACAATTGGTCATTTGAATCGTTAATGTTAAATTTACAACCATTTATATGACTTTAAACCAATTTATTTAGTTAAACACTAGTCAAATGTGTCTGCATGTACTTTTAGCATTACCTATTCCTCCATCTTACCTATTACCTTTGTGAAACGTTGAGAAATTCTATGTAGGTACTGTTGTTTTGTTTTTGTATCTTATTTGAAAATCCATTATGACTTTTCTCTTGGGTTTAAAAAGTTAAAACCGTCTATGAAAATTATTTGATTGGTTAGTTACCATACTATAGAAGCAGTTAGAACATTACTACTTTCTTAACAAAACTGTTTATAGTCTATATAAATAAATTTTGAACTAAACTGTGATGTATATTAACAGAAGTAGATAACTCATATTACAAAATTCTAGCGTACATTTATAATCCAATGGAAAATATTCAGCTCAGAACCATCCAATGGTTTGTTTGTATGTTTGTATTTTTTAATGTTCATTCATAAAAATGAACACAAATAAAAAAGTATTATTATGTTACTCAGTAATAAAAATAGTTACAAACAGAAGCTTAATAGTGTATTGGATCAAAATTATCCAATTAAATAATATAGGTACTCTTTTAGCATTTATACCTTGCCAACTAATAAACATTTGTTGAAACAAAGTAATAGTATAAATTAGTTCTATGGCAGGCCATGTAAGAAAATACACAGTGTTCTACAATCATTGGTAATGATGGCAGTTGTTTTCTATTGCGGCTTTAAAGGACTTTTTAAATTAATCGTGTGTTTATACCCCATTGCGAAGCACAGGCAAGTCATCTTACCATCTTGTTGATGATACAGAGATCTGGTGGACAGACCACTGTCTCACTGTACAATTACATTCCACATGATGAGATGCAGATGAGATGTCGCAAGTGTCTAATGAGAAGTCACTTGGTATGGTTCCCAGAGTATTGTGACGCCTGATGAAAGAACATTGTTGGCTGGGAATTACTCAGAGGTCTGTGTGAGGAAATTGGCCCTCACCCTCAACAACTAGTTATTTACATATCTTCATAATACTCTTTGATTGTTACTCTTTAAATCTCTGTGTTTTTTGTATATTATTTTTTTATTACCTTCAATGAAACTGTTTAGTTTTTTTTAATTGTTATTGGTCGTAATATTTACTCCACTAAATGAACTAAACGTTTAATCTGTTAAGCCTATTTGCTTTGGCTCATGCAGTTCATGCAATTCGTCCAGTATTTATTTTGTGTAAAGGTAAAAAAAGAAAATACTAGCGACAATACTTTATAAGTTTATTACATTGCTATTTATTTACACTGTACAAAATGACTTCTTCATGAAGTTACTTCATAAATTACATAATTACTTCAAAGTTACATAATTGTCAAATTAAAAATTAGTTTCTAAATACAACATACAAAAAACTTGACTGAATCAGCAAGCATTGCAAACTGAGGAATATAAATTATATGCTTAATTTATTTCAAACATTAAAGACTGGACATATACAAAGCTCTAAAACTTGTTCTATCAATTTTAATATTCTAAAAGATGATGAAATTTACCTCCCTATTAATTTTATTCAGTAGGTACTAAAAGTGACGATTTATTATAAACCTGAAACTCATTTTTATAAAATAACTTAAGTTCTTCTCACACATAAATAATAATGGTTTACCCTTCTTGGAAAAGTTGTAAACGTAAAATGTATATAAAAATAAATCACACAGTATATAATTTTAGTTAATTGATTTTTCTGAGCCTTTAAACTCTGTTAAAAAACATTAAATTATACTTGTCCATAGTTTTCTTTTCAGTTAATATTAACTTAAAAAGATGTTTAAAATATTTTTTTTTTAACTTCAGGATAAATATATTTGATTGTTCTAGTTTCCTGAAATGGCAGATATGTCTTGGACTCAGTATGCTCATTTTAGGAACTATATTCTACTAAAAATATACATTGAGTTGTTATATTCCAACACACACACACACTTGAACTGTTGTCTCAACACTCAGTCTCAATTTGTTTGTCTGTTGTTACACTTTAATTGCACCAAAATCAACTTAACAATTATATCACAGTTTTATGTGCACATTAGCACAACAGCACAAGAACGGCTGTCAAGTTGGCCTCTCTGTTAATGTGAAATTGATTTAAAAAACTAAACATTTTATCCAAGCTTTGATCACACTTTACTTTTAATTCAATAAACAAGTTTACCTCCTTTTAAAAATCATCAGTTAAAATAGTCACAATTTTTACCAACTAGTGATTTTTGCCCCCAAAAAATAGATCATCTCAAGGATAAAATGTTTCCATTAGTTAAAGTCTTAATGCATCTTCAGTCTCACTTAGTCCTTGTGTTGGGAGGTGAAGGTCTTCTGCGCTGAGTCTGTGGTCTGCGTGCGTTGCGCTTGTAATAAGGGGCACTCTGATCTCGGTCCGCACTGAACACATAGTCCGAGTACTGCTGACTCTGCTGAGCCACTTGAGGAGTCAAGAAGAAGAAATGTCCACCGCCGTTGCCAGGGAGCCGGTACGAGATAAACGATTGATCCGGCTTAGCCAGCCCAGGAGTTGAAGGGTCTATGAATTCTGCGTCAGGATTGATAGGTGGAAGAGGTTCTTTGTAGTTCACCAATACATCTGATCCTAAGGGTATTGGCTTTTGTGTAGAAATTAAAGATGAATATGGCCGCTGATCGTAGAACTGGCTGTAGATCGGTGTAGGGTAAGGTACTCTTTGAGGATAGCTTTGAATAGGTGGAGCCGCTGTTGAGTAGTAGATATTCCCTGGTATCGAACCAGAGTTTTGGATGTACTTAGTCCTCGGTTTGTCCGTCTCATAATATTGTGGCCTAGGAGAGGTGTGCGGGAATACATCTTTGCTGGACACATCGTCAATTGGTGGAAGAGGTGATGTCACTGCTTCTCCCTTATTAAGTTTTTGTCCAAAAGTTGTAAAATATTTCTTTGTTATATCGTCAATTAAGTCTGAATCTTGATGTGTGAAAAATGCGTAGTATGGGTTGTCAGTTTGAACAGTTGGTCTCGGCGTAGTGTGAGGTCTCTTTGTGGTGTAGTATTGATTGTTGGTGTTGTAAACTGACGCAGGAGTTGTAGTAGGTGCAGCAGTAGTAAACAGAGGTTCCTGATAAGGTCTGGGTGTTGTCTGATAAGCATACGGCTCTTCTTGTCCATTTCCTACTTTTCCTGGCACAGCAGAACCATAACCCGGAATTGCAAAACTATATTCATATACAGGGGGCTTAGTTGATGTCTCGGGTCTAGCAGTTGTTCCTGCAATACCAGAATATGAATAACCACTGTAGCCTTTTGACCTCTCTGGATAGTAATAATGAACAGGAGATGGTGTATTAACTCTCGGAACATTGATATATTCTTCTTGAGGGTAAAAATAGTCTAAAGGAGATGGTTTGAATTGACCTTGAAGTGATGGTTTAGCTGCCGAGTTTTCATATGACTCCTCTGTTATTGTGTGAGCATTAGATTGTCTAAACTTTGGTTGAGGTAAAGCTGGAGGGTAAGGTGGTAAACTGTCTGTATCTGTCAGCTTACCCTGTGAGATGTGGGGCTCCTCATAGAAGTAATACGTCTTCAAAGCTTTTCCTCTACTGTCTAAATGTGACCTGTACAAATGAGCTGGCGAAATAGTACTAGCTGGCGGAGCATTTGTTGGGTAAAATAATGACTTCAGTCTACTTTGGTCATCATATTGCAGTGGCGACTCAGTTGATGAATAGAATTGCCCCTTTTCTGAGTAAATATCATCATAGTAAAAGTCGTGTTTAGGAGACTCAGTATTAACCTTGTAAAATTGTTGATCTTGGGTATAGGTCTTGGTTTTGTTGGGGTAAATCCAATTGGTTATCGACAAATCGTAATCTGATGGTTTGAAACCATAGACTTGGTTTTCTGGGGGTGTGACTGAATTGTAATCAGGTGGCAATGTGGTAGTAACTTTTCTGAATGGTTTTCTCGCCCCTGTGATATAGTAGGGATGAGGTGCAGGAATTGGTACCCATCCTTTGACAACTGCATTGGGAGGAAGTGCATGTACTATTGTTGGAGGCGTTACTTCATTCAGTGAATTATCTGTTGTTGTGTGAACTGTTGGTCTTCGTGTATATACTTGGGTAGTCACAGGTGGAGTATGGGTAGTGTATACCAAATGAGGAGGTGGTGTTGTAACAATATTGATATTTCCTATACTCGGCCTTATCTTAACTCCACCATACGAATCTTCAGTGCTAGTTATGATTTGTACATTTTTATGTTTTGTAGGCTTTCGTGTTGTAGGTTTCTTGGACGGCCTGGTTGTTGGTCTTCTAGGTTTAGATGCTGTTGTGTTTTTGAATGGTGCGAAGAAGTCCGGCGGCGGAGGCAGGACGATACCGGGAACTAAAGGTCCTGGTGGCACTGAGGAACTGTTGTCTTTTGGATAGTAGAAGCTGTAAGGTGGAGGATAGTAAAGAGATGGGTCGTCTTCGTCGAATGTTTCTGTAAGGTTTCCTGGTGGAGGTAGGAATGCTGCTCCTGGTGGGATGGGGGGTAGGAATCCTGGTGGTGGGAATGGCAAGGATCCGTTTGGAGATGGAAAGAAGGGGAACGGGGGAGGAAGATATGGGCCGTTCCCCAGTGTGAAGTTTCCCGGACCGTTGATCTGTGGTGGATAAGGAAAAGAATTGTTTGGTGGTGGAAACGGGAAGAATGGTGGTGGACCTCCTGTTCCGTTTTCATTCTTGATGAACTCCACGGGACCACCTGGTTTGAGTTGAACTGGAAATGGTGGAGGTACTTTAGGGTTTGCTGGAATTTTCACCGGTCTAGGTGGTGCAATGTAATTGTCAATTGGAGGCCAAATAGATTGATCAAGACTTTTATCCTTAAAGTTGCCTCCAGCTAAAACAAGTAAATGGTTTTCTGCAAGCCAAATCTCTTCTTGTCTTAAGCCTCCAAGATTATTAACATTATCTTTTGGAACCTCGGGGTTGACCTCATAGCTGATGATTCCTGGTCTCTCCGGCCTCTTACTGAAGAGTTCTGTTTGTATTAGGCCATATTTTCCATCAGCCACTTGTTGAGAGAGGGTTTTCTTATCCTCATCATCTTGTGTTTCTTCCTTCTTCCCTCCACCCTTGTCCTTGACAGCTTCACTCTGGTTAGGTTCTTGTTTGAAGCCGGGTCCAGTGATAGGTTCCTGAACAGTTCTTATTGTATCTTCGACCCTGCTTTGCCGCACCACTTTCTTACCTCTTGTATGGTCTTCGTCATCCCCTAAAATTTGAAGTCATATGTTATATGTTGACTGTAAATAGTATACTACTTGTTACAGTATTCTCATTAAAGTATAAATTGGAGTATTGAACAATTCAAGTTAAATAAAAAAATCTAAACACATAACATTTGTTATAAGAGCATATCATATTTTAAATATGAAATGGTAAAGAACTTTGTTTAGATTAAAAGTATCAATATTGAATATTAAAATTTATAAAATTCAATATTTAAAATCCTCTGTTAACAGAATAATTTAAAGCCATTGAAGATACCCAAAATAGTCGTTATTTATTTGCTCTGCATTGAAAATCTGTAGAATACCATTCTCAAATCATTATGTTACATTATTTGATTATAAACATATCAACATTGTTGACGACTCATTTGTTACATACTAAACTCACCAACATTGTGGATGACCCGTCTATTGTCTGTATTGCTCTCCTCAGCTATCAAGTCTTCCAGGACATACTCCTTAGCAGCAGCAAGGACCGCGAAGACCAACAGGAACAAAACTAGGCTTGTCCGACCCATCTGAAAATACCCATGATTAATGTAAAGAAATACCGTGCCAGAAATCAAGTCATGATGTGTTTGTCAGGCTCGAGTTGTCATCTCTCTGGTTGTAATATGGTGTTTTTATGTTATTATTGTAGGTCAGTCCAGTTTTGTAGTTTCAAGGGTCATTACCCTACTGAGTTATCTAGCCTGTGCACTCACTCGCTCTCCAGTTCACTTTCTACACAGTAATTGATGTTGGCTAGTTAGTTGCGCCACTGTTACGAGCCACAACATACCACAACAACCATAACATACAATACATCTACATACTTACTAAATAACATTCTCATTGGGAATTCTATTTACTTTAGATTGAAAATGAAATGGCACCACAGACAAGTAAAGTACTGGTACTACTTTTTTCCTTCTATGTGATAGCAGTTAACAACACACCATGATGTGTTGGTGTCGTTGTAATAGTATATTACATTACTAGTCAGGAAAATACAGTAGGTGTTTACCAAGTGTGGTCGTCTCGCGTGGGTTTACCATACGAGTCCGGTAAACAAATTCTGGACGAGTGACATACAATATTTTTCACCATTACAACCCTAAAGTAACCTAACCATAGAAAAACTGTCAAAATCGGTTCGGTGATACGTTCCCACCGATTTAAGGACTAGAAATCACTACTCATAACATCTCCGAGAGGGTATGTTTTCGTTTGTAACCACTTACTGACATTGGAATATTAGACTACGTATTCCAAACTTTTTTGTGATTAGGGCCTACATCTTTATAATTAAGTATATTTTAAATATTAAAATTTATGAGCAAAGAAAATTGTGTATTAACACGATTTGTAAGTTCAGTAACCCCTACGTGTGAACAATAGTGTGTATTTTTGTATTTTTTACTCTGCTTAATAAATTTGGTTTGTGAGGTGAAGAATTTTGACGCTATTAAAAAAATACATTTATGTTCAAAAACTAAGTACATAATATGATTTGATGTTTACATTTTGCTAGGCCCACAATGATAAGTATTGTTTGTGTAGCGAAAGTAATGTTTATTTAACGAAAGAAATGTTTATGTCAAGAAAAGTCAGCTGATCACTATTTGGCGTATGGAAATATTCAAAGATCTCAGCTGTATGGAAATGGGCTACTTTTGAATACAGAGTGATGAAAAATTCATTACCACGTAATGAAATCCCTTTTGATCAAGCAGGTGGTAAACGGCTGTTTTCCGGACTAAATGATTGCTTGGAAAGTCAATAAAAACAGTCCAGTTGTGTGGCGAAAATAACGTATTACCATTACCATAAACAAAACAAAATTTAATTCTTATGTGTCTCATATTACTATCCAACAACATTTCATGCTTGATGTTTACAAGCTCGGATTTATTATTGGAGCTATTGGTTTAGTATGTTTTTTTATTGTAAAATAATGAATAAAATGTACCCTACTGTACATCCCCTATTATTTCCTGTAAATATTTTGAATATGAGAATTTGTTGCACCTTTTCCAATATTAATCAAATGACTATTAGTTATAAATAATAAATGACGTAAGAAAATATAATTGTGCCTGCATAAATAAATATAAAATGAAATTGTTGCTAAACAAATTTTAAAGCAGAAACATTAGGCAGTATAGTGCCATTCATAAAATCGAAATATAGTACTACCGATGATTGTGTCATGCCAGATAGCACAGTAGAAAGTGGCAGTGAATGGCTGTGGGAGATGAGTCACGATACGTAATTATTATGCAGGCAGAGGTGAGATGAGTCGACCTTGTGCCTGGTTGTGATCGCCTAGGTCACGGTCCCGTCTTGCCCCCTGCCCTGCCCTACCGCACCCCGCCGCAACAGGGAGAGAACACGAAATGGAATAATTCTACTGTTTCGATTTGCTGTATGAATTAGTTTTGGAAACAAAACTTAATTACTACGTAGTGTAATACAATTTCTTAATTAAAACTTCAGATGTGGGTTTAAATACCCTAAGCAACTAAGTGCATTTTATTATTAGCACCGATGCGTGTTAAAACACTGTATCTCGTATGTATATAATATGGTTAATAATGGTAATTTTTATTATTTTTTACCTACGACCATTTTTAAAGTAGCCTTTCAGTTCAGGTCTTAGAATTGACAGTTTTCACTTAACAACACGGGTAACGGACCAATTAGGTTCAAGGATTAAGAGAGAAGAAGTAAATTGTAATGCTTCAAACTTCAACTAATCATCTGTTTACCAATTTAATTGTTAACGATTGGTGCAGCAATTTAGTGATTGGTGCAGTGAGTGGTTGCGTCAATGAGAGGCTATAAACGAAAACATATCCTCTCTTAGAAGTTTTGAGTAGTGATTTTTAGTAATTAAAAACCGCAGGTAAAGTTGTGTACGCAACTCGCGTAAAATAGTCTTAACGACACTCGTAGAAGCTTTTATTTTCTACTTTTACGCGATCGTTCCATAAAATACTATTTCTTTATTGGTTACTATATTGACATCGACGATTACAATTTTTCAGGGTAAAATAATAAGCAACGTAGCTGACTAAAATGTTGCTGCGAATCAAAACAAATACTATTTGGTATGGTTTCAGTCAAGCAAGTACTGTATAGAGATTTATAAATGTCACACAACACAACTGTCTCTATATCAACATTGTATCGTAATCCACACTGTAGCCGGTCTTGGTCGTGTTATGTGGGTGGCATTTGAGGACCAAGTTACATCGTCGTTTCATCAATTTACTTTTACTTTCGGTGGAATCTAGCGATCGTAATGACTGTGGACACGTAGACCGAGGTGTGACGGTGTGAGCATTGAGCAGCCAGCGTCGTCGCCGTGGCGGGAAGCTGTGGAGTTATTCATATGTATATTGCTGGTTATCTGATGACGGTGGGTTTGTGCAAGCAGTGCTAGTGGAGGCAGGAAACATGGCACGGTGTTCGACCACAACATAATCAGGTCGAGGGATCAGTAGAAAGAGGAGAACATGCCCCTAGAAAAGTTTTGTGTTGTGAAGAAGTCAGAGGTACGCGCGCACTGCGCCGTCACGGCCGTCATCGCCGTCACCGCCTTTTTCAGGGGGGGTGCGCGCACTGCGACGGCACGGCCGGCCGTCACGGCCGTCACAGCATTTTGGACTGATGTATTTTTCAATTGAGTTGTTTTGCTGTGAGCAGTGAGAGTGTGGGAGCTATGGATATCGACGAATACGTGGTGGTAGTTGGATTAATTTTAGGAGAAGAGGTTGAGGAAAGCGAGATTTTGGATACATAATATAAATATAAAACGACTAGGTTTTGGTGAATTTCACCCATTATTCCCCAATCTTGTAGAGGACGATGACAAATTTTTCCAGTACTTTAGCATGACCCATGAAAAGTTCGAATGTCTAGTTCGATACCTAGAGGAGAGTCTTTCTAGACATGATACAAATTTACGTATACAAATTACGTCCGTGCCGTGGGGTGCACGCACTGGGACAGCACGGACGTCACGGACGCCGCGGAATTGTCCTGAGATTCACTCCTCCGAACTTTCTGACAGACGTCGGTGGCGGCGGTGGCGTCCGTGACGGCCGTGCCGTCCTAGTGCGCGCACCTCCATTACATTACATGGGAACGACTTTTGGAAAAGGCCGGCCGTGACGGCCGTGACGGCGCAGTGCGCGCGGGGCTTAATGATTCATTGCGTTAATTTACGTGATATTATCTACTATAGTTTTTGTCGTTCGTATTTGCGTGTCGTAGTGTAATGTAGCCTACAGTACGGAACTTTGGGACCACGCCCCGCCTCACTATGTCGCCGTCCTTGCTCCGGCCCTGACCTATCATGCTCCCCATGCTGCACTGACTACACCTCACCGCCCGATACAGTAACGAGTGCGGTTCATACAAGGGACATAGTTTATGTGCAATTTTAAAACAGATTTTTTAATAGCATTTCCTTCCATTTACTGTTTGCTCGGAAGGTTTCGTCGAGGTTTTCCGTAGATTGTGGGTGGGCCGAAATTAGATGAATAGGTTTTACATCCCAAGAACAGGCTAAATTTATGTTGCCATCATAGCTGGGAAGACGGCTAATAGTACTCGTTTAGTAATCAACAGATTGCCGGTTAGATCCTGAGAAAAGTCAGCAACTTTCGACGGTTCGATACTAGATTCAGCTATTCTTGTTAATTGGGCTTTAAATAAATGGTCATGATTTTAGAAACAGCTAGTCCTTGTCAGTAACAAAACCTCACGAGTCATCTCACTTCATTCACACTCGCCATTCACTGATACCGTCTTTGGGTGAAAAGTCACCGAGTTGAGCCCCCTTATCAGCAAGTAGCAGCAATCATCGATTGCTATTTACAGCAATCGAGCGTAAGATCAACAAACACCTGATAAATGTATGTAACTTGGCGTGTTCTATGTTGACTACGGTTGGTGTGAGTGGTCGGTGTTTTGTTCAGTATTGCTAGTGGCGTGTTAGCCGTCGTTAGCTCATGACATTAGCGTTGTCTGTGTCTCGTGGCTCGTGGTCCCCGTACACGGCCGCTCTACACTACTCGACTCACCGCCGCATTGTCTGATCGGCCCACTTGCATCAATCATAAACCTTACGCAACCTCCATTCTGCTTAATGCCCGCCAGTCTGAGTTATTGCTGCGCTCCGTTAGCGTTTATCTCAATCCGATTTGGAGCGTTTAGCCTCGAGCCGCATTGTTGATTGATTGATTGGACAGCGCCGACGTTAATTGCGGGATTAGGGGTTGTGACGTAAGGTAGGCCTATGGGCTTCAATGTGTCACTTTGTACATTGAGTGGTAGTATGTACCTTGGTACAAAACTGTACGTCTCAATAGCGTTATTCTACATTGTTTTATGAACTCGCCCGGGTTGCATCAGTTTCCTTTGCTGTGTATTGTTTCTCAACCCGTATATTAAGGCAAAATGTTGCTACGAATGTAGAGCCATTTCCTCGTCGCCTTCTTGTATTAGTGGCGGTCCGAAAACCCGCGGC